AGAGTGAGAGCATGTGGGGAACAGACTGAGGACAGAGGCTTCAGCAGCATTACTGAGCATGCTCAGTACAAGCCAAGCACCAGATGGGGAGGAAGGGAAGACAACCCTCCTCCGCTCCCCTCCCCCACATCATCTCCATCTGGGGCTACGAAGGTCCTGAAAAACTGTACTTCTTTTATCAGACCATTTAGTAGTTAGCTGACAGGAGCACTGTATCTAATCCCTCTTCCTGTGGGATGACAGTGACCTCACAGGTCATTCATGTGGCCCTGCCCCCAGCTCCCCAGCCAGAACAGCCTCTCGCCATGCTACCAGCCCTACCAGCTGTAGCCCCTCCGCATGCCACCTCCAACCCCCTCACTCGTACACACCAGCCCCCTCACTCAAACCCCACCTAAGGGTGTCTCAGGGTATGTCTACACTACAAAGTTAGTTCAAACTAACGGACGTTAGTTCGAACTAACTGTCAGGCGCTACACTAGCGCTCCATTAGTTCGAATTTAATTCGAACTAACAGAGCGCTTAGTTCGAACTAGGTAATCCTCATTCCACGAGGATTAAGCCTAGTTCGAACTTACTAGTTCAAATTAAGGGCTGTTTAGACCCTTAATTCGAACTAGTGGGAGGCTAGCCCTTCCCAGGTTTCTCTGGTGGCCACTCTGGCCAACACCAGGGAAATTTGCCTGTCACTCCCGGCACTCTCATGGAAGCCACGAGCTGCGCAGCCTCTTCCCTCCCCAGTGCTCAGGGGAGAGTGGGAGCTGCAAGCTGCTCCCCCTCCTGGGGGGGGGGGCAGGAGCTGTGCCCCCTTCCTTTCTCTCCCGCCCCCAGTCTCCTCAAACAACCCCTAGATTGGGGGGAAAGCCAGGGCTGGTGCAGCCTTGGCCTGGCCCCCCCAGCTGCCAGTGGAGTGGGGGAAGAAGGGATGAGAGAGCCAGGAAGATGGGGGAGGAGGGATAAGTGGGCCCCAGGGTGCGCATGAGGGAGAGAGCTGGGGTGAGAGGGCCAGGAGTGGGGGAGAGACCGAGGGGTGAGAGGACCAGGAGGGGAAGAGACCCTATCCCTCCCCAGATGAGGGGGGGTTGGCAAGCGTAGTGAGCAGGGGGTGCAGTCTCCTAGTTCCTATATAAAAGAAACAAAATTAACATTGACATCTTGTGGTATGTCACTTAAGGAACACTGGTTAGACTTAACATTTTAATGTATATTCTTACTTTGTTACTAACTCTGTGGAGAAAGAGACCCTGTCAGGATTCCTGGGCGCGCTCTCAGCTCTTGAAGGGGAGTGAGGTCTAGTGGGTTAGAGGGGGGCAAATGCATTTTAGCTTTATATAAGCACATCCGAATGGCCATACTAGGTCAGACCAAAGGTGCCCTTGGGTAGGCTATGAACTGTCTGATGGTATTAACCTCAGTTGCACTATACTTGAGAGTTTCATACAAACGTAATTACAGCGCACACTGATAGAAACTACTTAGTCTCAACTAAATGTATTGAACCACATTAAGGTTAGTTTCTTTGCCAGTGCTTGGGTCAGGGCATCAGGTGTCTCACGTTCGAACAACTTCAGATCCTCACACTCCACTGGCAGAGTGACATACTACTAGGTGGCTGTACCCCCTGTTTGCTGCACTCACCAACCTTCCTCCATCTGCCACAGCGGGATCGTGGCCTCTCCTCCTACCTATGCTGCAGCAGGGGCGGGGCCGCCGCCAGCCCTTTCTGTAGCCAGCTGGGAACTGGACTGCAGGGCCTGCCTCAGGATAGGGATTGGGAACAGGATGCTGCAGCCAGATGTGGTCTGGGCCCTAATTGGGGACTTGTTGGCCAGGCTTCATTTTAAGTAAAGGAAAATATTATTTCCAACACAAAAAGGTTTCAACATTGTCTTCATTAATGCCAGGGGTGGGGAACTTTTTTGGGTCAGGGGCAACTGACCTGCTGAAAAATCAGTCTCACTACCCTGATACTCCAGCCCCAGAGGGAGGAGGGGAGAGATCCCTCACTTTCACCAGGCTGGGACAGGGGTTTGAAGGGTAGAAGAGGGAAAGGGCTCTGAGGTGGGGCCAGAAATGAGGGGTTGAGTGTGCAGGACAGGGCTGCCAGTAGTGGAATAGGGATGGGACTGCAGGATCTGGGTGGGGTGCAGGAGGGGCTGATGGTGCAAGGTCTGGATGGGAGATAGGGGGCAGAAGCAGTTCTGGGTGGGGGGTTGAGTGAGGGGCTGGCCATGAGGGAGTGGGGGCACTTGTCTTTTGTCCTCCTGCTGTTCCCGTTAGCCAGATTCTGGCCAATGAGAGCACAGGGAAAGGCTCCAGAAGAGCATGTTCGTCCACTGCTGTTCACCCAGCCCAGGAGCGCTTCTTCCCTGTGCAGCGAGGCTCTGGGCTATCCTGTCCCCACCCCGCAGCAGGAAGCAAGCACCGCTCGGGAGAGGACGGAGGATGAGGGGCTGCAGTGCCAGGCAAAGGGGGCCCAGATCGCTCAGGTCAGTGCTGCCAGCCATCTCCTTGCCTGCCTTGCAGAAAAGCTACTTGTTGCTGCAGCCCCACATGAGGCTGGATGGGAGGGAGGCAGTCTGAGGTCTCAGTAGAGTGGCTTGGCCCTGGGCAGAGGAGGTGGCCACTCTGGGCTAGGTGGAGATGGGGTGGTAGGCAGGGTGCTTCTCTCTGCACCTGGAGCTTCTCTTGAGCTGGCTGGACCAGCAGCCATGAGCACCAAGAACAACAGCGGCGTAAGCAAGTGGCCCTAGTGCAAGTCCGTGTCTGGGGCAGGCAGCCTGTGGAATGCCAGAGTGACATGATGACATCAGGCTATTGTCCCCCAGGAAAAGGTGGTGTGTTTTTTTTTTAAATATATAGAAAATTTAAAGAACAAAAATTTCAAAATGTTACACTAACACTGCTCTACAGCCAAAATGCTTCTGAAATAAATGTAGTCAAACATTACTAGTTCTGGGTCACTGAGAATGAAAATGATGCTTACAATTGTTGATTGGCTCTAGTTGAACAGGAAAAGGAAATCTATGCCTTTTGCAGTGCCAATGATTTGGAGAGAGCCAGCAGATCATACCAGCAATTGTTACTTCTGCATGGTGCCTCCAGTTGGGAAAGGTGTGTCAAAGAAGAAAAAGTGGACTGTGCATTATCCAAACATTCCATCAGCTATACGCCCAGTACCCCACGGAGAAGGACTGCCGGTTCCTGATGCACCAGAATCATTCTCACTTGAGTCAGACGAGGAAGAGGATGAAACTGCTGGTCCTGAACCATCAATGTCACAGGACCCACATTTTCTCCCATCCTCCTCCTCTGACCCAGACCTCATAACACAAGGTGAACTGAATGACCTTGTCAGGGATTTGGAACTACCCAAGAGTAAGGCAGAACTGTTGGGCTCCAGACTACAGCAATGGAATCTCCTGGCAGGTGATGTTAGGGTTTCCATGTTCTGTGACCGTCAAAAGGATCTTGTCCCATTCTTCTTCATGGAAGGTGATCTTGTAGCCTGCAACAACATCGATGGTGTGATGGCAGCCCTCAACATCATTCACGATCCAGATGAGTGGAGACTGTTCATTGATTCATCGAAGACGAAGATGAAAGCTGTTTTGCTGCATAATGGCAATGTTTTGCCATCAATTCCAGTTGGTCATGCAGTCCATATGAAGGAAACCTATG